TCTTTTCTTTTTATTTTTTTCTGTTATTCCTACTTCTTTGTGTCCAAATCTTATTCTTTTTCTATTATCATGTTTTTTGAGCTTCAAAAACCACTGCATTTACAGTATTATTTGAATATAAATTGTCTCCTATTAGGCTCCTGTGTTGAAAGCTTGGCTCCTGGGTTGCAGTGTTATTTTGGAAGGAAGTAGAAGTTAGATGAGCCTAGTCAGAGGATGAGGTCACTAGAGATGTCCCCAGGGACGATATACCCTGTCTGGGGCCCTTCCTATCTCTGCTTCTGTGAGGTGAAGAACTCTGTATCACCACATCTACAATGCAAACTCTTTATTATTCAACAGTTGTGGGCCATCCCATGGGGCAAGTGAATGGGTGGGTACCTAGGACCCAGCACAACATCCAGCCTCTGTTCTGACTCCAGCAAGGTGAGTACATCACTCTTGAGTACCACTTACCTTAGATGTGATGGAGTAGCTGGTGCTGACCATGAGGTCATGCATAACTGTATGCACTGTCCCGTAAGCTGGTCCTGCACAGTACTTTGGTGACCCCAGTTAGCCTAATGGACTGCAACACAACAGTGTTCATGATGGTGTCTGTCTGACAGAAAGCAGCTTTCTTTCTTTGAAATTGTTTCAGGGGGCTGGGCTGAGTGCGATAGGGATACATCTGCCATCCCAGGACTTAGGAATGACATGCAGGAAGGTTCCTAAGCTCCAGTTTGGGGCTTCCCAAAGAGCTGCAAGTCTCAAAAGAAAGTCTATGGGCTGGGGGTTTAGCTCAATCGGTGGAGAGCTTTCTAGCATACACAAAAATCTGTATCCAGTCCCCAGCATTGTACTGCTCATGTGGTGGTGTGTGCCTGGAATCCCAGCACTCTTGAGGTAAAGGCAGAGGATCAGAAGCTCAAGGTCATCCTTCTGTTTTCCATGAAGCTAGGCTGGGCTACTTAAGATTCTGTTTTAAAACAAAAACACATTAAAAAAAACTATTTCAAGTATAGTCAGTGCTTCTCCTCCTCCTCTTCCTCCTCCTCCTCCTTTTTCTTCTTCTTCCTCTTCTTCTTTTCTTCTTCATATATATATATATATATATATATATATATATATATATATATATATATATATATATATACTGTAACTGTCTTCAGACATAGACATACCAGAAGAGGGCATTGGATCCCATTACAGATGGTTGTGAGCCACCATGTGGTTTCTGGGAATTGAACTGGAGAACTCTGGAAGAACAGCCAGTGCTCAGTGCTCTTAACCACTGAGCCATCTCTCCAACCCTAGTCAGTGCTTCTTAAAATATTGAGTTTACAAGATGATCCTGAGAAACAGATTTCATGTTGAAATGAGCTTGGGCTGTGTTTGTTGAATACTTTTTAGCTTGGTCACAAATTTCCAGGACATGCCTTGCACCCAAGACTTTGAGAAGCTCTGTGATTAAGAATCCTATCTATTTCCCACCTTCAATTTGCTTGCCAATCAAATTCTTTGTCCTTTGCATCTGTTAACACATTGTAGATTATTTTGGCCCTGCCTTCCAGAAGGCTGGCAGTCTAGTAACCTTCTCCCATTTCTACCAATGAGGAGAATTCCAATGGCCAGAGACAACTGTGCTTGTACAGAAAGTGGGAAAGCTGCCCTACATGGCTCTCTCAGTGTGACACTGGGCTGAGATGCATTCCATGCACATCCAGTAAGGACTGGATCCAGTAAGGATCTGTCTTTAATGCCTGTCTCCTGGTTCTCACTCCCAGTGTCTGAACTTTGTCCTACTTCTCTTGACTGAACATGATTCTTTTCCAGTGTTTCTGTGGCTTTTTTCCTTTTTCTTTTCTCTACCAGATGTTTTACAAGTAAGTAACAAAAGATTCCAGTGGAAATTTCCTATGCTTCATCAAATCATGAAAAAAAAAAGTAAATACTTTTTGTAGTATATGGCTGCTTTATGTCAAAATCACGGTTGTAAAGCAGAGGGTGTGGGGGACAGAGACAGATTTAGTCATCCACACGGGGTCAGCAATGAGTGAATAAATCAGTTTACATCTTGGTTTTGAGGGTTTTAAAAGAATGTAAATGAAAAAATTTTTGTAATCATATATATGTACACACACACACACACACACACACACACATACACACACACATATGTATTAAATATTTCATAATCTCAAAAAGGACCTGAGGGATTTTGTCTTGTCCAAGCGATTAACAGACCCCTTCGGGTGACTTTCACAGGAAGGAAGAATGGTACGTCTTTGTTTTTTGTAAGATATCTCCCTGATGTAATCTTGTAAAATTTAAGGCTCCTAGTGTACTCAGTACACTGTCACTCTCTTCCAACATACCAGAAGAGGGCGTCAGATCTTGTTACAGATGGCTGAAAGCCACAATGTGGTTGCTGGGAATTGAACTCATGAATTCATTAATTCATGAGTTCAATTCATGACCTCTGGAGGAGCAGTCAGTGTTTTTAACCGCTGAGCCATCTCTCCAGCCTGAGTCTATTTAAAAAAGCTATCCATTAGTGACTTTCTAGGCAGTTTAGGACGTTTCATCTACTTCCAGGGCCAGAAGTAGTGCTCAGGCCCACGGGTAATTAAAGCCCTGCTGCTTTAGTCCTTATTTCATTGGCTGTTGCCTATGAGAGAGTTTGCCCAGTTTCAAATTCTCTCAATGTTTGCTGGTTTAACATCCAGTCTTATGGAGAACATGGAAACACATAAGGGGAGCAACATTGACTTTAAAGTCAGAAATCAGCATATAGAGTCTTTACTTTGAGATACAACGTGTATGTGTGCGTGTGTTGAAATATGGTATTAATGTATAGTCTTAATTTGCTAAGTAGATCAGGCTGGTATCCAGCTCACAGAGATCTGTCTGCCTCTACTTTCCAACAGGGATTTTTTTTTTTTTTTTTTTGGTTTTTCGAGACAGGGTTTCTCTGTGTAGCCCTGGCTGTCCTGGAACTCTGTAGACCAGGCTGGCCTCGAACTCAGAAATCCACCTGCCTCTGCCTCCCAAGTGCTGGGATTAAAGGCGTGCGCCACCACCGCCAGGCCTCAACAGGGATTTAAATATTCTTTTTAACTATGTGTACATATGGGTATGTGCACATGAGTACAGTGTCTGATAGAGGTCAGAGGCAGCAGATTCCCTGGTACTGGAGTGACAGGCAGATGTAAGCCACTCAACATGGGTGCTGAGAACTAACTCTAGTCCTCTGCCAGAATGGTACTTACCCTTAACCACAGAACCATCTCTCCAACAACCCCCATGCCTGTTGGAGGTAATTTTCACATAGCCCAAGCTGGCCTCAAACTTACTTTGTGTTTGAGGATGACCTTGAACTCTTGACCCTTCTGCCTCCACATGGTGAGTACTGGGATTACAGGTATGGTCCAGCATACCTGGTTAGAGTAAGGATCCTTCTGAGGGTCATACTGTCAAGTGATTGGCTCATTATGCAAGCATCAGTGCTGGGTCTTCAAGCCAAGGTCTTAAAGTTCCTCTGTAGCTGCTATTGGCTCTCCTCAAATTTCTGTTAGTGTTATTGCCTTTGGTCAAGCCAGATCCCTGATGTTTTTTCAAGTTCTTAAATACCAGCTGTAGTGGATCTGGACATGATTGACTAGTGAGGAATAATCATAATTGATTTGCTGTTTTGGGAAAAAAGTCACTTTGAACTTTGTTTCCATGTCAATCATTGCATATGAACTCATCTCCAACATCAGTATTGGCTTTGAATGCTTTGGGTGATAGTGAGCAGAACAGCATCTGGAGATGTCCTAGTATGAGCTTCAGGAGACTGCTTCCAAGAGAACCCCACACAATGCTTTATAGTACCCTGTAATCAGCAGGAGACACACTTTCTCAAACAGGGGCAAAAGCACCCCATAGTCAGTAATAAGCCGGTAACATAGTCATCTAGTGTTGCTATGAGCCTAACGTACCATCCATAATTGTGTGTGCTCTGCTTTTGTTCAGGAGATGGCACACAGGGGTTTTTTTTTTTATACCAGCATCACCAAAAGCATATGAGGGCTGCTCTGTGGCTTGATGGCACTGCTGCGGTGACATCACCAGGCAACAGCTTGCTTTCAGATTATTATGTTCCTGTGTGAGCAGTTGCACATGGTGTCTATTGTTCACTGTGTGCTACAAGGCTGAGTAGCTGTTTGAACCTAGGGATGCTGCTAGCTTCTCTGAGTCTGTTTCCAGTTTATCCTGCATTCTGAGCAGCTTTTGTCTGACCCAAAGGAATGCCCGACTTAGCACCCTTAGAAGCACCCGAGAATATGGTGCTGGAGTGGCACTCAGTGTCCTATGCTTCAGATTCCCCAATCAGGTCTTTCCAGGTTTGCAAAGACACCTTCCCCCGTCCTCAAGTTTGCCCAGTTGTCACTCTCACAATCCCCATGGCAGTAATGACTCATCCATCAGCTCCCCCAGTCTGTCCTTCATCACCTCCTCAGTGACTTGTGTTCATTGCAATCACCTAAAGCAATTTGTTTTCAGCATCTGGCTTCCCTTGATAGGCTGGGTTTGGCTCTCACCTTCCACTTCTTGCCTGGGCTGGGAGGCTTTGCACACTGGGGGATTGATGATGAATGTATTCAGTCAGCAGCCAGCACCCGGCACCAGGTGGTTCCACCTAACTGCCTGTTCCCCCCTCTCATAACACAATATCCTCTTTAAGAATGTTGGCTACACAAACTTCTTTTTTTTTAAGTATTATGAGTGCCAGTAAATTGCAGGTTTGTCTTTGCGTTTGGACATGGGAAGGGAAGGTTGCTATAAAATTCGTGAAAATACAGACTGTCGCAGAAATGTACACATAAACTATGCTAACATATGTATATGCTAACACAGTAGTTTCTTCCTTTGGAAGTTGTGATGTTTTAGTAAAGCTCTTCCTTTTGTGTTTTGGTTTTCTGGTGTCTACAGTGAAGGGGTGCTGTTTTGGGAAATTGCTTCTGACAGTGATTAGGAAAATAGGCTGGAATTGAACCATACTTCCACAGGAAAACCTCTGGCACTCAAGTTCCACAGCACTTTAACTTAGATTCCAATTTAAGAAGCAAACAAAACAAAACAAGACAAAAAAAAACCAACCAAATGACAACAACAACAACAACTCAATATTTTATGCCAGTTGTAGGTTGCACATCTGTTATTCCAGCATTAGGAAGTAGAGTCAAGAAGATCTCCAGCTCAAGATCTGACTGTGCTACATCATGAGATCAAGGCCAGCCTGGGGTATGTATCCAGAACCTAACTTAAAAACCCAACTCAAGAAAAACAACAGAAAAAAAAAAAGTTTCAAGATTTTCCCCGCCTAGGGAGGAGCATTTGGAACAGTGTCTCCCCCTGGAGTTTCCCAGATCTGCTTTGAGTGCAGGTCATCTGAGACAGTGACAGCGGTGGGAGGGGCAGGATGAGGTGGAGGGGGCGTGGCAGCTCAAAGCAAGTCTAGTATGCTGTCACTTATTGGCCAGCCAAAGAGACCTTTGACCAACTGGCAGCTGCCTGGTCGTCATGGCAACGAAGCACGCTAACGCCGTGTGTCCGGAGGCTGGTGCTGGCTTTCAAGAGAGCAAGGGGCTATGGCACAGAACGTGTATGGTCCTGGAGTGCGGATGGGCAACTGGAACGAAGATGTCTACCTGGAGGAGGTGTGCAGACTCCTCTCGCATTCCTAGGATTCCCAGCCCTATCCTGCATGTTCTCTCTCTGCTGAGCATTTAGCATCCTATCATCTTAGGTCCTGAGAAGGTTCTGGGTTACAAGCATATGGTGAAGTCTGGGCTTTCCACATTCTCACTCCAGTCAGGAGGACTCTAGTAGAGACTGCTGACCTCCAATATACCACTCCTGATTGTTTCTGGATTGCTTCTAAACACATTTATCCTTTCCTTCTTCGTGTATTTCTCTTTTCATCCCTCCCCCACCCTCCACCCCGCCTCTAAGATCCTACCATGTCATGCTAAGGACATTTCTGCCATCCCTATAGCGATCACATTTCCTTTTGTGTTCTTAAACTGTCTTTGAACTTGAGGTGCTTCTGAGGGAAAAGTTATCAGTACCTGTGCTCTGTAACAGCTCTGTCCTGGGCCCCCCTTTACTTGGTCTCTGCATCCCCAGGAGCGCATGAGACACTTCCTGGAGAAGAGGGAAAAAGGAGAACTTCTTATTCAGAGAAACAGAAGAGTGAAGAAGCACATTTTGAGACCGGTAATGTTAAATTCCAAAACCGATTTCAAAATTCTGTCTAGTTAAGTGTGAGTTAAGCAAAGAAAATTTTTATAAACAAGTAATCATGTTGGAAACTGTTCATTTTTTTTATTAATCCGAAAAGTATAGTGTTTAAAATTCCTCTAGATTTTAGGAACATTAAGGGAAGTCTGCCCTTCATTATGTGTATTTAAATATATTTACTTACTTGTTTGTGTTTTCTAATAAAGGGATGGATTAATGCTTTTACAAGTAAAATGCCTTTCAGTTGCTGTGCAAAAAATGTTTAACAAATGTTGAATGAATTGATAATGGGAAACTATGTAGAGTCCAACAGCTTCGCATGATCTCGTCTGGGGTCATCGGGAGCTTGAAGGACACTAACCAAGGATCTGGGGAAGGGAGGGCCTCACTGAAATGGTGCTAGTCTGAGAACAAAAGGAGATACACCTGGGAGGGACCTTGGTCCCAGCAGCTAAGGAATTGAGTAGCTTATTGGAAAATTCCTATTAAAACTGTAGATGCAGCTTTCGATATCTGAAGATGGATATGTCCACTATGGTGATAAAGTGATCCTTGTGAATCCTGACCACGTCCTGGGGGAGGAAGCAGGCATGTTTATGAGAGGAGACCTGAGCCTGTGTATGAGCCCAGATGAAGTTAAAGCACAGCTTAGTGACGATTTAGAGATACCCTGTGGTGTGAGTGCTGTGCAGACCATCGCCCCGACGGGCAGGAACACCTTCACCATTTTGAGGTAAAGTCACTCAGCTTCAAAGCACCAAAGTATCTGCTTGGATTTGTAGCTTGAAAACAGTCTGAGATGAGGAGAGACACTGGTGAATAAGTGTTTGCCTTGTATGTATGAGGGTCTCTAGAATCCTTATTATTATTTTTTTAAAAGGCTTAGTGTGGTGGCACACAGTTGTAATCCCAGCACTGGGGAGGCGGAGACATGCAAATCACTGAGCCTCGCTTACTTGGTGAATCATTGAGGGCCCTTTACATGCCCGTTTGTTTAAGACAGCAGGAAAATTAGCTGCTTGTGTTCAATTCAAAATGCTTGCTTTATGATGATTATAGATACAAAGAATTAAACTTACGTTCTGCCTGGAAGCAAAGAAGGATTTTTTTCCAAGTAACATTACAGGATGCTTGCTTTGTGCTCACGAGAGTGCTTGCTTGCATTGTTCTTGATGTGATGTTAGCTTCCCAACAAAAATATGTCACTTAATAAAAGGTTGTACAAGCTGGGCTTTGCTTTTTTAAAATTAATCATCTACTAAAAATTGACTTGAGGTTTTGGAAATGATCAACAGGACCCTTAGAGACCTACAATTGCAATTTAAAACTCCCAATTTCACTTTGTTAAAGACTTTTGTGACAATGTTTCAGTGACAAGAATAGAAACTGTTATCTGCACCCTTCATTTAATTTGTCTTAAGTACAGATGGTTTGTGGTAAAAAACAACTTAAAGTTGATGACCACTTTCATCAGGGGATGATATCCCCTGGAAGATTATGAGGGAAGATTGTATAAAATACCTACAGATGTATATATAACCTTGGCTCTGTCTTAAAATGTCAGTACACATGCTAACATGGCGTGCTTAGTCCATTCTGGCCAATGGCAACAGAGTCGGGAGGCTGTGGGTTTGACCTATGGGGCAGGGCAGGGAATAGCATGCTTGCTGGATGATAAGCCTGAAACAAAAGGATTTTTATAGCTGGCTGTGGTGACTTATACCTGTTACTCCAGCACTCCTAGTAGGCTGAGACAGGAGGATTCCTGCAAGTTCCATGTCAGTTTGGGCTACATAGCAAGTTCAAGGCCATTCTGGGCTTCAGTGTAAGACTCTCAAAACTCCAAAACCCAAAACGGCACATTTTCCCAAATAAAGACACAAATAGATTAATATATGAAAGCAAGAAAAATGCCTTTTAGTTGGTGCTCAAGAATACTTCAGCGAATGTTGCGCAATTTGATGACGGATTCCAGCTCATGATTCTCACTGGCTTCTCCTGATGTTATCTGGGATGACTGAGGTCTTTGCCAGGATGAACAAAACAGAAGGAAGAAGCACATTTGTTACTTGATTTAGTGCGGTATGTGAATACACGCTGTCAAGAAAAGCGTGGGAGCCGGGCGGTGGTGGCGCACGCCTTTAATCCCAGCACTTAGGAGGCAGAGGCAGGTGGATTTCTGAGTTCGAGGCCAGCCTGGTCTACAGAGTGAGTTCCAGGACAGCCAGGGCTCCACAGAGAAACCCTGTCTCAAAAAAAAAACCAAAAAAAAAAAAAAAAAAAAAAGAAAAGCGTGGGAATGAGGTAGCGTTCACATTCTCCTGTTACTTTTTCACCCTTCAGTGACCAAGCGAACAGCTGCGATATGGGTCAAGTGGTTGTGTATGGGCAGAACTTCTGCCTGGGGATAGCAGCAGGACTGGAAGGCAAGATGGTGAGTCTCCTGTGTGCCTACTGTCTGTCATCTATCAGTCTAGTTTTCCAAGATGGCCAAATAGTTACCTCCTGAAGGGACTGCAAATGTGGGCTCTGTTTCTGCTGAATTCAGTCTGTGGGTTCCAGTGGGCATTTTGTGCCTGACTTTTTTCCTCTTAACTTTGTAAATGACAAAAACACCCCCACCCTTAAAAGCTAAGGAGTGAAGAGAGAAAAGTCTTTTTGTACGTAATACAGCTGTCAAAAGTAAAAAAATTATACTACCTTAAACAGCAAATTAAACAATTGGGTTAACTGACATTTATCCTTTTCCATGAATACTAACAAGGTATATATACACTGCCCAGACTAATATTGAACTCCTAGACTCAAAGTGATCCTCCTGTCTCAGTGTCTTAAATAGCTGGGACTATAGGCATGGATCATTGAGCCCAGTTCTGGCAATTTAAACTTTTGATTAGCAAATACTTTTTTATTTCTAAGAAGCAATAAGGATAACCTTAGTTTACAAAAACCAAGAACCTTGAGTCTCTGAAATTCTCCTTTACTTTGGAGATTATGAGGTACAATAGTAGGCCAGGGCAGTGGTACACACCTATAGACCCAGGACTTGAGAGGTTGAGACTGCAGGATTGCCCTGAGTTTGAGACTCACCTGGGCTATAAAATGTGAGATCTGTCTCAACAAAACACAACAGACAACAGAACCAGAAAAATGTTCTTGAATTTCACATGCAAGCTGTGTCATAGGGATTTGTGTAAATTAACCATTAGAGTAGTCACTCATAATTTGAGCAATGCCCCAATTGCTTCACACATACTAATTCAATTTTTTTTTCAAGTGAGTCTCTGACATAAGGACACTGGGAACATAGAAGTTCAGCTACTAAATGGCAGAGCTGGGACTTATGTATCGTTACGGTTTGGATGTAGAATGTGTCTCTATAGGCTCCTGTGTTTGAATACTGAGTTCTCAACTGATAGTGCTCTTTTGGAAGCTGGAGACTGACTGGAGGAAGTGATTTTTCAGGGAAGAAAGGCCTTATAGGTTATAGCTCCCTTGGTTTCTGGGTCAATCTTCCTGTTCCCTGATCCATTGAAATGTAGTCAGTGGCCTCACTTGCACTGCCTCTGTGAGAGACGAACTCCCTAAAATGTGAGCCCAAAGAAGCATCCCCCCACCACCACACACCAAGAGCTCTGTCTTGTCTTGTGAGGAGTTGCTGATATTGAGAAAAATAACACCAACATACTTCAGTAAATGGGAGAGTTCATTATTTACTGATGTGACATTTTATCATCATTTTTTTTTTTGGTACCACGAAGACAAACCAACAGTGTCAGTCAACTTACGCCATGTCACGCATAGATACAACATTGAAACACTGACTGAGTCACTGAAACAGGCGTGTTGCCCCCAGAGATCAGCACACCAGTGTTTGGCTTCTTCTATTTATGTTTTTCTGTATGTCTTCTTCAAAAACCAAAACTCGGGTTTTGATGAGCACCTGGGTTCTTTCTACTCCAGTGTTTTCAAAGCATATCTTAACAAATTATGTTTAGGGAGAGCCTAATATGCATTATTATGTGGCAGTACTATTGTTACCAAGCCCTTATTCTGTGTTCAGGAAGTCAGATGTACTTGTTTCCCCTCCCCTCCCCTCCCCTTTCCTCCCCTCCCCTCCCCTCCCCTCTTCTCTCCTCCCCTCCGCTCCTCTGTTCCCTCCTATTTGTCTGACTGATCAGCTAAGGTTGACCATGAACTGGTGTTCCTCTTGCCTCAGCCTTCAGAGTACCGAGATTACTGGTGTGTGCCACCATACCTAACCATTTGGGCTTTTTTTTTTTATTTTTATGTCACATGTAAGGTTCCACATGTATCTATGTATAAATGCTCAAAGCTGCCCCCGCCCACCCCCAGTTAGTGATTGTATCTTGGGAATACATGTTTTGGGGGCATAGAATTACTGATATCAAGAATGTGATTACAATAGAAGTATTGAAAGCTGGATATGGTGACACACACCTATAATTTCAGCACTCAGGGTGCTGAAGCAATAGGATTGCCACAAGTTCCAGGCCAGTCTATGTTACAAAGTGAGATCCTGTGTGACACCACTTAGGAGTCAGTTTTGTTTTTGTGTTTCGTTTTTAAAGATAGCAGGTAACCAGTTCTTTTTAAATTGACTGCACCAACTGGTACTCTCAGCAGCAGTACACAAAGTGTAACAAATGTCATAAATGAAATCTTTGCTAATTTGGACAAATGGAAAGGGTATTTGAATGTTGCAGTGCCTGTATCCTTCCCTGTAATTTTGCCCCCATCCCTCCTGTATTCTCACCTTTCCTTCCTCTCTTTGCCTTCCTCAATCCTTTTCCCTGGGAACCACGTGTTGTTTGCCTCTGTATTGATTTTGGTTTACTTATTTACCTTTTGATACATGATTAGATTTTGCATATTTGTTGCTAATATTCCCTCCTGCACGTTAAGTTGTAGCTGTTTTAATTGCATTTTTTAGTGAAATATATTAGTTTTCCTTGAAGTCACCTCTCTCTCCCCTCTCCCCT